AGGTTGCTTGGTCTGTTGTCCATGTAAGAAATCCACCAATTAACACCTCCCTCCAATCCCTAAAAATCGTGGCCAACACTTTTCCCACAGACATTCGAGTCTTGGCTTTCACAGGGTTTCTTTTGCCTTTCCTTATCCAATCTATGCTTGCACGAATTTGTTGAGGAGTGTAATGATCGACCCATGTCTCGTCACAGGTGGCAATTTTATTCAGAAAGCTTCTCTGTTTTCTTCAAAACGAGTTTGAAACAGTTGAGAAATGGAAACTCATGCAGCTTTTTATCATCATTCAGCAACTTTGGCACCCAACGAGCTAAGATTTTTCTGAAGCCCAACTGCTTTCTGATGACTAATTGGACACTGCCATAGCTGACACCAAGTTCTGAAATTTGAAACACTGTGCAGCTTAGCTCCCGTTTAATAAACTCGCAGATTTGTGCAATGTTTTCATTAGTCACACTGGTGCGAGGATGATGGGGATAACCTTGATTCATAACATGTTAACGGCCTTGCTTGAATTTGTTGCACCAAACCTTCACTTTTGACCATGAAAGGGTAGCTTCCCTGAACTGCAGTCTGTGGTAAAGTTTGATTGGTTTCACGTTTACATGGATGAGGAACTTAATAATTAGGGTTTGCTCAGTAGAGATGGGCACACTCCTCTCATTCGTCATAAGGGCTACTAAATAAAGCGCAGAACAAGCCAGCTGGTGTGATTCCCTTATTCTAGGCAACCCCACCTAATGTTTTGAACTGCTCAAACACATAAAAATACCCATCCTGATTCTCAGCCAGTAAAGGCACGTTCAAATTTAATCACCTCTGTATTAGATAGTTTATTACACTTAATGAACATAGCATAATGCTTTCGAGAGTTCAAGACCTTCGAATCTTATTTGATATATCTCAATATTTTGTACCTTATATGCATTTGATCAGGCTTCTTCAGAATAAGTTTTCGCTTCTATTGAAGCAGCAGAAAATTTTATTATGATGATCTGTTGCAGCAATCTCAGCGGTTGTCTTCCTTTGGAGGTATTCTTTGGCTTGTCACATCAAAGTTCATGCAAAAATGTGAACTTCTATGCAAGCACTATGTTTAGTCCCTTTGATCTGAAAGTGAGGTAATTATCATTGTTCACTTAATAATCTACAGGTCTGTGTGTTACTCCATGATTATTAATGCTAAAGGTCTTTGAAAAATAGGGATAAATTTTGAATTTCTGAATAATTAATATAAATTATTAAATTAATTTTCCTTTTTGAAATGTTTTATAATTCCTAACATGGAACACTCTCCAAGTCTACTATATATATCTGTAGTTCATTTTGGTCTTCTGTTGCGGTGGTTATTGTCTAAAAGTGAAGTCAATTACAAGTGTTTCTTTGTGCTCTTGGAAATACTGTCATTTTTATAAGTGGATATCTTAGGTGATTTAGAGTATTTATTGTGTATTTAATGTTTAAAATATAAATGCTGTTGACATAGGATCCACTTTAATTTAAAAAAATTAACATAAGTTTAAAATAATACTTTTAATTTGTACTGGTTGTCTTGTTTGTTATTTTGTATTCAGAATTGGATTAAAACTATGCTGATTTGAAAAAAGTGCTATTTTTTTTTGGGGGGGAAGGGATCATAATTTCATGAAATCATTAAGTTTTGATGGTGTTGATTTGAATTCACAAGTATTCCATGTGCATCTCACCTGTTATATGGGAAACAAGCTCCAACCACATGATATGATATACAGTTATCTTGTATAATGGAGTTGACAACAGTGTTTATGCATTTTTGAAGATCATTCAGTGTTCCAGATTTGGGAGGTACATGCAATGTGATTCTCTGCAAATCCTCCTGAAAAAAGACGCAATCAGATCACTCAATTCCCAACTTCCTGTGAGATGGAAGATTGGTAAACTTATCTTACTAAATGTTTTATGTTATTGAAAATGTATTTTATAAATCGCATCTCAGGGGCTTATTAAAGAATCCATTTTTAAGCCTTATGTACAAAGCTTGACTACTTTTGTAAGTAGATTAGCATAAATGTTACATTTGAACATAAGCTAACAATACTGCTACTGCATAATACTGCTTCCCCCCCCCCCCGAATTGTAACAAACGCCATATATTTATTGCTGTTTTATGTGTGTCATTTTCAATGTCTCTGGGGGGAGTTTTGCTTTGTACTTTTCAAAAGGAAAGAAGTGAAAAAATGTTGCATTAATTGTATTGTTAGAAAACTAATGAAAATTCAGAGCTATATTGAAAAATACGGAGAAGTAATTAAATTGTTATTTACATCTAAAGCAAAATTTCCAAGTATCGTAAGAATGTTTTCAAAATTCAGTCTGCTGCTAGTAAATTGCAATATCATATGAGAACAAAAAAGCTTTAGAGCTTCTTTTTTAATTTAAATTACTAGATTAAAATAACCACATTACCTCTTGATAAGTGAACTAAAAACAAGTCTAAAATATGAAATATATTTATGGGCTATAATATTGGAGCTAATATTTTCTATTTAATTCTTTACAAATTAATTTTTTACCTACTTTCAATTTTCAAAAAAGACTGTTGAATGTCTTTTTAATATGGTGATAATTAAGGTTATGATAGCAAATTTTAAATTCATTCTCTTAAAAGAATGTTAGCATTCTGCAGATTGTACAGAATGCTATAGCTTGCCCAATCCTTTGGAATTTAAATAGTATCTTGTTGTTGCCAGTTCATCACTATTCATTCTGGTTTTATCTGCAGCTGCCTGAATTATTTTATATCGTTGAATGGCTTTACATGATAGAGGGAAGGAAGTATTAATTCACTGAGCATGTATTGCAGAGTTTATTCAAGCAAGAACAGAACTGGAGCTAAAAATTTTGGAACTTCAAAATGACAAAATCCAGTGTATCACATAGGAACTTCCGATATTTAGTTGATGGAAACAAATTTCCACCTCTTGGAAGAGCATCTTACAAAACAATTTTTTTTTGGGGGGGGGGAAAGGTTGAAACATTGTTTTCAACAATTAAAATCACAAAAGATCACATGCTTTTCAGGAGCAAATCTGATCTCAGAACTATTTATTTGTGCTGTTTGTAATATTAACTGTTCTGTTTGCAGCAGTACCAGCACAGAGCAATGTGAAATTCTACAAACTTTTGATGAGCAACATATAGCATCGAGTTTACTTGTACGTACGTTGGAGGCCTTTTCCATACCTCAGAAGCTAAGGGACTCTGTCAAATTAAGTTACATAGTTCCTTCACATTTGAGTGATAAATCCATATAGGCATGAATGGGTTCAGATCTGGGAAGTCATGACTTGTCATAGTTGATCTCCTCTGGTGGTGGTGTGTAGAACATTAATATCCTAACAGTATGTGTATAAAATTGTATTCTCATTCCTGGGAAAGATTCCAGCTGCAATATTTCTGCAAAATAATGCCTGTTCACAAAAAGCCATGGGTTAGATGAGGAGTAAGTTTGCCATGTCCAACAAGCATTTTTTGGCTTACCTGTTCTACTGATACATATCCTATTGAACCTGTATGGAACTAATTGAAATATCAGCTGCTGTTTTGCTATAATAGTCCTTAAAAGTACTTTGAAGTCCTTAAGGTGTTTTTTTTTTTAATAAGAGTATTTTTGTTCCTCAAACGTTCTTAATTTTGGCCAAAATAAAATAAAAAAAACACGTCCTTAACTTTATTTGGTTAACATTTTCATCTCTTTTTTTACAATTACCATTTTAAAATTGAATTAACATTTTGTAAGAATATTTTTTGGAGATGCTTTGGTAAGTGTGTAAATGCTTTGATGCATGCGTGATTTTGGAAGGATTTCTATTACAACTGTAGTACATTCCAACAAATATATAATATTTGATGGGTTAAGGTACATTCAAGACTACAGCGTAATATAAATGGTCAATACCTTGAGATTTAGGCTCGAGGCGCTGGCTCAGTTGAAACATAAACATTTTGAAATTATTTCTTTTTTGTGAATGAAGAGTTTATAAAATAGTACATCAGAAAAACTCTTCCCTTTTTTGAAATATGAGTTCTTTTAATATCCAGTACTAAATTTGGCGATTTCAAGATCAATTTGTATACACAATTTTTTTTTTTTATATGGATTTTTTTTTTTTTTTTTTTTTTTTTACAAACATAGCATTGATAAAATGTTATAATTATATTTAAGAAATAATGTTGAAATGATTTTGAAAAATAACCAAAATAATAAGTGCTGTAAAGCACTGTTTCTGAAATACTCTGTAGATATAACAAAGAAGCTACTGTAATTATTTTAAAATAATTTTAGTTTTTCATTATAAGAGTATTTTCCCATGTACTTCTGTCAGAGTATTTAACTTTGTTAGTTTTATCTTGTTTCTGAACTTAAATTTTTCAAAAATCTAGTTTTTTTGCTTTGCTCTTACAGAATTGGTAGGATATTAGACCTAGCATCTCAGAAAGTTTAGATGGATTTAAAGGCAAGATTTATAAATGTAGAATTCCAGGAAAATGTGACAAAATGAAAAATATCTTCATGGCATTAACACATAATGGATGTATTTCATGGGAAATATGTGATGATTTTTTTTTTCTTTTTAAAAGATTTATCTTATATCTTTAATTAAGAGGTTATTACCAAATTTCTCTTTTTATTTTTCATGCATATATTTAGTACAAAAAATATTTCAGTGTGATACCAAAATTAGACATTTTGTTGGTTCCCTTAATATATTTTAAATGGTCTGGATGGAGTAGAGAAGAATATAATCATCAGTGACATTGTCCTTAGCAAAATTAGTCGCCTTCTGAGGTGGTAGCCATAAGAGGGTTCACCCCTATTTCAGTTTCCAGTAGCATTTCAATTGTTCGAAATATTAGTATTTTTATTTATTTATTTATTCATTTTCCACTTAAAATTTTATGATGTGTGAAGTCTGAGTTGTAGATGCCTCAGTTTAAATGATTTTATTTCTTTTCAGGTCAAATCTTTGTGATATGGATGGAAAATAATTTTAGAAGCATTGCAATGATACTAGTGCATAAAAGATCAATATGTATATAAGTTAATTATCATTAAATATACTATACAGAATTTCTAAAATTGAAAAGTAATTGAATTTATTTCTGAAAATTTGTGTTTAAGATGGATTCTGTGATTAATGGAGAAGTAGCAGAAAATTCTCCTGATAAACAGAAAGATGCTGTTAGTGCATTGCTTAGTTCTGTCAACAAACTAATAGAACCTCATCTTTCTAAAGAAGTTGAAACCAACCCTGAAGCCGAAGTGGCAGAACATAACAATGAAAATTTACCTAAAGGCAAGGATGCAACTCAAAGTAATAACAATTCTGTTTCTGATTCCACTTCAGATAGCTTTCCTGGTTTGCCAGTACCATTTTTCAAGGAAGTTACAAGGTCTAGGACAAAAGAAAATGGATTGCTGAGTGAATCATGTCAGAGAGAAATATGCTCCTTATCAAAGGATGTAAAATGTAGTTCTCCTTCACCTGAAGGTGAAGTAAAAACTGTAGTTGAACAATCTAGTGAAATAAATGCATGTGAAATGTCACCTTCTTCAAAAGAACAGTCTTCATTCAAGTTTGGTGATAAAGTGGAATCAGAAATTAAATCTCTCAATTCTTGTGAAATACCTTGCTCAATGAGTGAAATTAGTACTGTTAATTTTTCTGTTCAAAGTAAAAAAAGTGATATAAATAATAAAGGCCTTGAATTGGAAGATACAACACATTTGATTAATGAAACTGAATGTAAAAATGAAACTGAAAGCGCACGGATTAGTTCAAGCGAACCATCCATTTTAAGTCAGAAGGAAGGGCTAAATGATATAAATAGTACACTCACTCTTTCAGGAAAAGAAACTCAAATCTTGTCACCTGATGTTACTAGAGTTAAGGATCATGAAGGTATAGCTAAATCATCTGTAAAGCAACCATTAAACTTTTCATTTCTTCCCAAAGTTTGTGATTTAGAAAGTCAAATAAAAGATGTAGAGAGAAACAGTTCAAAAGAATATCCACATCCATATAATTTTCCTTTGACTCAACCAGAGCAGCCTTTTAAGCATACATCAGTTCACTCACCATCTCCTTCAATTACAAATACAAGTTTGGTTGAAAATATTACTAATAAACCTATGGATTTCAATTTACCTAATTTCAATTACCCACCTGATAGTTTAAAGCCAATTGAGTGTAATGAGAACAATTTTACCAATTCTAATCCACTTGAAAAATTGAATGAGCACTTAAATTCAATTGGATTTGACAAAGATCGCATACATTCTTATGCACAAATGGAAGATATTCCATTGACAAAGTCTTCACATTTTTTAACTCAAAAACCTGACCACTTTAGAAGCTGTACAAAAGAAAATAAGGATGACCATGTGGGTAATTCACATGATAGATTAACTAGTGATCCTTCTGACAGTTTTGTATATACAGAAATTTCCAAAGAAGAAACTGGTTTTCCAGACGTTTTTACAGATATGGTAACAATTGGTAAATATATATCTGTCAAAGGCGATTTTACTCTCCGAAGTACAGAAGCTCTCATTGAAAGCCCTTCCTTAGTAGCCCCTTATCTTTTAAAAGAACCAGATACATTTCCTCCTAAAGAGAAAGAATCTAAAACTGAAACTAAGGATTTCTTTCACACAGCTGCAGGAGAGCTTCTCATTGGAATAGGTTTGAGTCGTGTTAATGAGTGGTTTCACCGGGACATGACAAGAATAAAGAAGAGGCAAATTAAAAGAGAAGGCAAGCTTCCTCAACTTGAAGAAGAACTTGTGCTGCATGAAAATCATTATGCTGAAGCAAAAAAAGCAAACAGTGTATATTCTTTTCCTTTTAAAGCATGTAAAACATGTGGTTTTAGTACTGAATCATCTATAGTAATGGAAGGACATTTATTAGTACCACACATTACTGCACGTAGAGAATATCAGTGTAATTTTTGTGAAGTTGTCAGTCGTGACCCTAAAGGAATGTTGGACCACATGCTAACCATACATAAGAAAACAGGTCGCATTCAACCTCCTGTTCTATTCTTTGAATGTCCATACTGTTCTTTCGAAAGCAATTCTAAAGTAAAATTGAACACTCATTTAACAAAATGTCAAAGATTCTTTGATAACGGCGTAAATCAAGCTCCACCGAAAGACTTTGAATACCCAGCCCTTACACCTAAACCTATTACTGTAGCTGTTGTTAAAGCATATGAAAAATCTCTGAGCTCAATGCAGAGGGGTAGGGGACGTCCCAAGAAAGTAGATACTATTTCTGATTCACTTCAGCATATGAATCAGTTTTCATCTAATATTAGTCATTCACCATTAATTCCCAATCATCTACCTTCTTATAGGCCTAGCGCAACATCTCCTTTAACAGATAATATGCCAATACAGAATCAGATGATGCCGCCTATGCAAATGCCTGGAATGAACTTACGACCTGCTCACTCCAGCAATCTATCTCAACTTGGTGCTTCGATGCCTCCTCCTCCTATGCATATGCCTCCTCCTAATCATTTTTTCCAAGTTGTGAATTCCAGTGGACAAATAATGCCCGTTCTAGGAAACAGTCACTTAGTCACTTCACCTTCACAATTTCCTTTCTCATCAACTCTTGTTAACAGCGGACAAAAGAAATTACCTACACCGCCATCACCATTTTTTAATACTTTATTTGGAAGTGGACTGCATCAACAAACTTCTCCCAAGAATATTCCTGATATCACCATAACTCCACTACCTAAACTGCAAGGCCCATATCCTGTTCCTCTTATCAAGCCATCCACACCCTCAGGTAATTCATCCTTGCAGTCTAGTAGTTTGGTAGTGTGTGAAATATGTGATGGGTACATAAAAGACCTTGAACAGCTACGTACGCATATGCAACTCATTCATAAAGTAAAAATTCATCCAAAAATGTTAATTAGTAGACCTCCATTAAATTGTCAAAAGTGCCAGTGGCGTTTTTTTACAGACCAAGGTCTGGAGCGCCATCTTTTGGGTGCTCATGGCCTTGTAACTTCTAACATGCAAGAATTAGCAAATAAAGGTAAAGATGCTGGCTGTTGTACAATTTGTGGAAGAGTCTATGCAAGTAAACTGGTTAGCCATATGAACCAAGTGCATAAAATTACATTAAAACCTGCTCACCTTTCATATAAATGTACTGTTTGTTCTGCCACCTTTAATCTGTATAGGTTGTTTGAAAATCATGTGTATCTAGTTCATAGTGGTGCAGCCAAGCGTGCAGCTGATGGTAGCACAAATGCTTCCAAAAGGCTTAAAGGTCCTAATTTTGAAAAAGACAGTTTACTTTCAGAAGATAATAAAAAAGAAAAAAGGACAACAAAAAGTGGAGAAGAAAATATAAAAAAATGCAAAGAATGTGGAAATGATATCACCTCCGGAACACAAACTGAGAAATGTGAGAAGTGCCTAAAATCGTCATATGAACTGGTTCAGGGTACTGACACTAACCAAACTTTCAAAGAAGAGCTTAGGAAAAAAGATAGAAGCATTGATAAAATTGCTTTGTAAATTATAAAATGCATTCAAAAAATCATGACAAATTATCACATTCAAGCTAATGAAAATTCATTTTTTTATTATATCAAATATTTTTCAATCTGGCATTTCAGCTGGGTATTCAAATACTTGGCAGTGCAAATGATTTTTCATCTGTAATGTTAATCCATCATTGTGACTGTTCTGTGTAAATATAATTGTGTGTTTGTCTTTGAATTTGACACAATGCAACTTTGTGAATAAGTCCTCTGAAACTGTTTTTTCTAAATTTCTTTGTACTTTGTCTCAAATTTAAATATTTTTAAGTGGAAGGAATGTGCTTTTGAACTTTCAATGAGTATTTCCTAAAATGCAAAGAAGGTTAACCAAAGAATTGGTAAATAGAAATGCAGCAAATTGTTTTTTAAGCTTTTCTGTGATTTTAAATATATTTATTTAAAAATTTGGTGATTATCATTCAGGAAATTGGTATCTGTTAAATCTAATTAAGAAATGATAATTGGTAATTTTACCAAGTCAGAAAAAGTTTTTGTTCATTTTTTATTTTTAGCCAAAACTTTTCATACTCATTTATGGTATTTCTGATTGTGTAATGTTGTTATTCCATATTGAGCATGTTAAAATGATGAAGCGTTAAATATACTTGCCCATAATAGAATTTATAATTTCATAGTAGAATAAAAATGTTATGTTGGTTGTTTTTACTGTAAAGTTGTAGTGTGCAGATTCCTGTTACCATTATAAAATATCTTTGCATTAATTTTATGGTTTTAATCTAATTAATAGTTGCTATTTAATTCAATTTAGATTCATTCTAAGTACTTGTAATTTGTGGGTGATACATATTTCTCAGAAACTAAAGGTGGATTGTATGCTGCATTTATTTAAATGTGCAATTGTAAACAGACCATAAAATTGTACTCCAAAATTTTTTCATTCTGTTGCTTTTATTGGCTTCATTTGCAACTACAGATGGCAGAAGTATACAGTCAGCTCCTAATTAACTGGGTAGTACCAGGAGCATTGCCCACAGTTTGAGGAGAACTGACACAGGAATAACTGTATATATATATATATATATAAAGATAAATAGAAAAATACTATTAACAATTTACCTGTATTTTTAGGAGTTTAAGCTAGAAGTAAATTCATTTAATTATGTAAATTAAATCAATATTTGGAGCAAAATGAACACATTGTTAGTAATGGCATAATAAACATTTGTGAAGAAATTAAGTTATAAATGACGTTAAAGAACAATATTTATAATACAACTTGAAGAATGCCATCAGTTCAAACTTGCATAAAAAATCAGTAAGTCAATCTTTTTATTATTATTATTTATTTTTTATCGTGCAGCATTTACACATTATGGATTACATACAATTAAATTATATGACTTGTGACTTGTCTTTCTGTGATATCGGATCAAATCCACAAATTTTAGAGTGGCTAAGAGTGCAAGTGTTACATCTGCCATTGGTGTAGACTTTTGACAGGGTGACAGTACAAACTTGCTTAACTTTCCAAATTTTGAAGGAGAATCTCCCAAGGAACAGAGGCCCACCAGGAATCACCTTATAAATAGCTGTGTCCAGGATTTGAACTTGGGTCAAAGGCTAAGGTAGTTTTCTCCCCTTCCACCATGCTCGTAGGATGTCTTAAATTATTTTGTGTACAAAATGTAAATTTACAGATAAAAGCAATAAAAAAAAAAAAAACTAAGACATCATCTGCTAGTACTGCTGAGATGCCATGCTTTTATTTTGTGGGCAGTTTGGATTTGTGATGATAATTTCTCCATCACTGTACGATAAACAAACTTAACATTTTCTTTTAGACAGGCCCAGTTAATGAGAAAATGACTGTGATATGATTTGTTCTGTTTCTTCCTCTTTGCCATTTGAGTTCATCATTTCTAAATTCTTTAATGTCATAATGATAAGGTAGTGACTTAGAAACAAAGAAGATTCACTTATATTGCAGCTTAATTGAAACATTTTTCGCTGTACATATATTTTTCATATGTATTGCATTGTACATTTAATTTAAAATACATAAAAATATATGTTTTATTTGCATTTATTACATATTTAATAATTATCTCTTTCTCAACACCACCATTAATTTAGCTTATTAATTTTAATGCATGTAAGATAAATTATAAAGCATGTATAGCTGACATGGTTCTTTGGAAATTTGAACCCAAAAGAAAAAGCTATTTTACTGAGGTAAAATACTGAAATTTCATTTTATTTTTTAAGTATGAAATCTAAAAGTTTCTCATGCTTAATTATATAGAATCATAACCAACTTCTGATAGTAAAATTTATATGCATAATATGAATTTCAGCAGTCTTAAAAAATATCATAAATTCTGATCAGAGCCTGGTTAAGATAATCTGGAACCATAGGTGCAAGTGTTCCACCCCCCCTAGTATTCGTTTTCCTTGTTTTGGGAGAACAAGATTTTGTAAGACGTGATTATTTTAGGTTCCCTAAATTCTGAGATATTAGGTCTGGACCTTGTTCTAGATGTTAATCAGGCTCTATTTCTTTGCAGTACTTATGAAATTTTAGATCTAAAACAGATTTTTAGAAGTATAATTTCTAGATTAATTTGTTGATTTAAGTAATTATACTGTGTTTACTCAAAAATAACCCCCCTTTTTTCTTATATTTTGAAATTTGTTAGGATCTTATAATTGGGAGTTTTGATAAATGAAACTATGGAATGAGGGAAAGAATTTTAATTATATTATACAGAATAATTACACTTTTTAAATACTCAGTAAACCACATAGGAAATAACCACATTTATGATATTCTAGATAACTCTCACTAATTATGTTAACCACATCTAGTTGAGAAATTTCAATTTAAGTCTGTATTTACTATGCTACTATACTGCCTAAAACAAATACTGCTACTGAAAGCATGAGATAAGATTCCATGCGTGAGAAATAAAAGAGGGAGCTGTCAGTTGAACCGCGGCTTCCAGCGCATTTCCAAGATGTGCGCTATCACTGGTGGCTTTGAGTTGCGTGCAGCTTGAATGTTTTATGAACATAAAAAAGCTACTCAGTTGATCCTACTAGTAGTCATATGCTTGTCTCAAAGATTAAGCCGTGCATGTCCAAGTATATGCCGTATTAAGGTGAAACCACGAATGATTAATTAAATCAGTTATGGTTCCGTGGATAGTACCTTACTACTTGGATAACTGTGGCAGTTACAGAGTTTATGCATGCAGCAGATCTCCTCCTACCCTCTAATGACGAGCACTTTTATTAGACCAAAACCAATAAGACTTTTTGTTTCCATATTATGTGGTGAGTCTGTAAATGAGTAGCAATGTCTTTGGGTCTAATCTAATTGTACCATTGTTCTAAGGGAATTCTGAAGGAAGAGGGAAAGTTAAGATTCTGTTTTTCAGAATTCTGCATAATGAAATAAATATTCATCTGTATATGTAGTTCTTAATTTTTTTCTAGGAATTTAAGGAGGGTCTTGTTTTTGAGTAAATATGGTACGTAGCTTATGAATGTAATTTCAGTGTTATTGCATACATCATCTTCCTGGACATTCCTCTGTACAAATTGCATCAGCCATTATATTTAACACAAAACCACAGATCAGAGTAATGGGGCACATATTTGCTATCACTTTGCTTGTTGTTTTTATTTTATGTGCTGATTTTAAATTAAGATTGATAAATAAGATAATCTTTGGAAATAAAGTGTCTGAAAACTATTCTTTGGAAAAAAAGTTTATTATAATGGGACCAGTTAAAGAATCATAAATATTTAAGTGTACTTCAAGCATTCAACTTTGAATGATTGTGAAGGATGCTACCATTAAATGACTGTTTCATTTGTTTATTTAATCTAGGACAAAATACATGCAGGCTATAGGCTAAAGAAGAGGAATATCTTCATGAAAGACTCTCAAAGAGAAGCTGTCGTGTATTTATGTTATACAGTCAAAAGTCGTTAATTCGGACACCCATAATCCGGACCTCAAAGCTACAAACTTTCTGCACATGTGTCACATTGACGCATGCACCTAAGACCTTTACGGCTGCGAATATGCATGTGCATAATACGTTTACGAATGTGCGTTTAATGTATACGGTATTAGCTAAACTAAAATTATCTAATTCAGTTAATGTTGCAGATTGCGTTGTTCCTTAATCTTCGACTTGGATCCGGCTTATTATTTTTTGCAGACTGTTAGAGCAATTTTATAAAAGTAAGCTTGAACTTTCGATTATGTCAAATAGAATTTCCGATATGTATTTACTAATATGTAAAGGATCTACAAAGCGAAAGTATGTTTAGAAGTCCATTAAACAAAAAGTGGAATTGCTGCAAAGAATGGATAAAGGCATATCCTTCGTTTCTGAAACCATTCCGAAATCTGTTTTATCAATTTCACGCTGCTCTGCTGGGGGGGGGGGATGCCACGGTGTGCAATGAATTGGAAGTTGATCTGTCAGCACTATCCTTATTTTCAGGGCAGCTGTTTTTATTTTATTTGGCTTATAATTCCTTACTAAATGTAGTATTTCATCTCGATGTACTCCGTCTTTGATATGATTTAAATCAAATTCCTCGTCATTATAATTCGCTTCCGATAAAGAAGAAAGTGACACAGAGGTTATTGAAAACGAAAAAATTTCGATTGAAAATTAGTCGGTATTCTCGACACAGCAATTATAGGACTTGAACAGCGGACTTTGTAACTAAACAAGAAATTATGTCTGTTTTTAGAATTAAAGAGAAAGTATTATCCCATAAAACAAAGCAACTTAAACAACTTACATTGAAAGAAATGTTTAATAAAGTAAACAAATAAATACAGTCAAAAGTCGTTAATTCGGACCCCCATAATCTGGACCTCAAAGCTACAAACTTTCTGCGCATGCGTCGAGTAACACCTTTACAGCTGCGAAAATGCGTGTGCGCATGCGCGTTTAATGTATAACGGACGGTATAGGCTAAGCTAAAATTTTCTGAGTCAGTTAATGTTGCAGATTGCGTTGTTCCTTAATCTTCGAATTGGATCCGGCTTATTATTTTTTACAGACTGTTAGAGCAATTTTGTAAAAGTAAGCTTGAACTTTCGATTATGTCAAATAGAATTTCCGATATATATTTATTAATATCTAAAAAGGATCTACAAAGCGAAAGTATGTTTTGAAGTCTATTAAACTAAAAGTGGAATCGTCGCAAAAAATAGATAAAGGCATATCCTTTGTTTTTCTAACCATTCCGAAATCTGTTTATCAATTTCATGCTGCTCTGCGGGGAAGGGTAACGTCGCCACACGCAATGAACTGGAAGTTGATCTGCCAGCACTATCCATATCTTCAGAGCAGATGTTTTGGTTAAAATTCCATAATCGGGGTGAGTGCCAAGCCTGGCGAGAATTTTAAATTTGGTTGTGGTTTCCGGCTGTAAATTTTCTTGTGGCAAACCTAGAGCTTTATTTCGGTAACTGTAAGAGCGTGAATTTAGTGTAGCCAGATTTTTTTTAAATTTAATTTTGAAATACTGTTTGTTTTTAAAGTTTATTACTGTTTAATATTATTGTTATATTTTAATATTTTATTTATATAAATATTTGCAGAAGGTTAGCTGTGGGAGAATGTTGGATTTCATATGAAATAAGTTTATAATTTATGAATGTTTTCATTTAATTTTATTTAGTTAATTTTTTTTTTTTTTTTTTTTTAAGTTTTGTTCTTGCATGTGGCAATCGAAGATGTGGAATATTTAAAGCTTTGAACGAAAATTGTTTAGTGTGTTGAATTCCAAGACGATAGTAACTTGAATATTTTAAGTTTAGTTATGATGCTGAATACGCATAATTTGCTATTCTGTTTACGTTTAAAACTGACTTCGCAGTGCTCTGATCTGATAAGTGTATACATTTATTTACTTAATAATTATTTACAAGAATTGTGCATTCTACTATTTTATGATGAATTACATATATATAAGACTATGCTTTTACTGTTGGACGTTGTTTTACTCATCTAGTATTTTATCATTTCATTTTACTATTCTGTTCACATAAAATAACGGTGTTTCACTACTGCAAAACTTAAAAGTTACTATTCTGTTTACGTTTAAAAATCACATTTTAGTGCTTTCATTTAGTGCGCCAAATTTTGAAAACCAAAATAGTTTGGCACGAACTTACCTGGCTTATGGAGTTTTAGCCGATATTTTTATTTTATTCGCCTTATAGTTCATTACTAAATGTAGTATTTCATCTCTATGTACTCTGTATTTTATATGATTTAAATCAAATTCATTATAAATATCACGAATACACATCAAATAGTTTTCTGGTTGCAATTTTCTAGTTTTGACTATGCGTAATGTATGCTTTACTCATGCACGCGTTGAAAGAAATATTTAATGAAGTAAACAAATAAATATTGAGCTTTTTTTTTTTTTTTTTTTTTTTTGTAAATTTTGATACCTTTTAGATCATAATTGTTCTTTATTTCATAAATTATGATTTTATATTTTTAATTTTATAATTTCTGCATGCCATCTTACCAGATTTAAACTGATGATCTATAATCCGGATTCGCCGAAGTCCCGACGAGTCCGGATTAACAACTTTTGACTGTACATGAAAAAATCATTAAAACACACTTGAAGGTTAGCCTGTTTATTCAAACTATTGGATGGCTAAATCAGCTACTAAACCAATATTGGGCATTGTGTCATTCAGTTTAACACACACACACACATATACAGAGTGGTGGCCAAAATTGTGGACAGTTTTGGAAATTTTTATGTTTTTGAAATTTGTATGCTTATAGAAAACCTTACGTTGCACAAAACGCAAACTTGTATATATCATTTTAAAGAGAGTTTATTACTGAATTCAACACAAAATTCAATTATTTGCAATACAAAAAAAGTTAAACGATAATAGTTATCAATATACATTAGATAGTGATGATTGCAGTGAGTTATCAATACTTGGTAGGGTACCCTTTATTTTTGATTACAGCTTCACATCGACGTTTCATTGAGCTGGCAAGAGTTTTAAGCTCTTCTTTCGTTATTACATGATGATAGGAAACAATTATAGCCTCAATTAGTTCCCTTTTATTTGATGGACGCCTCATTCGGACAAGAGTTTTCAAACGGTGCCACAAATTTTCGATAGGATTGAGGTCAGGACTGTTTCCTGGCCATGACAACAATTTAATGCTCTTTGTATGAAACCACTCTTTCGATATTTTGGACGTGTGGCAAGGAGCAGAATCCTGCTGTAAAATAAATGAAGCATTGTTGGGAGAGAGATCTCTGATGGAAGGTAGAAGATTTGGTTCTAGAATAGTGTCAATGTATTTTCTGGCATTCAGTGTCTCATCGATGACATGAAGGCAACCAATACCATCTGCTGCCATGCATGACCAAATCATAACACTAACTGGGTTCTTCACAGTTGCTTGAATGTAGTCAGGATGTAGTTCTTCTCCTATTCTACATCTTACGTATTTTCGCCCATCACTACCGAATAACGATATCTTAGTTTCATCACTCCATATAACTTGTGACCACTGATCATCTGTCCAATTAATGTGTTCCTTTGCCCACTATAGTCTTTTTTTTCCGTTGCTGAAAATTAAGATAAGGCTTTTTTTTGTGGAATTCTACCTCTCAGTCCAACATCTGTTAATTTTCTTCTGATTGTTCTTGAACTGACAGAAACACCAGCATCATTCAGAGCACTTCTGATGGTCGCTGATGACATTTTTCTATCTTGGAGACATAGTCTTTTTATTCTTCTGTCATCAATAGATGTGGTCACTCTTTTTCGGTTCTTTTCGGCCTTTTCCTTCTTTGTTTTTTATTGAATTTGTCTCCTGATATCGTAAACAAAACTTTCGGACTCCAGGTGTAGTCACTGAACCACCCACCTGGCTTGCAATTTCAGCATAGGAAAGACCACTTTCTCGTAACACAATAATATTAAATCTCTTTCTAGGTGTCCAATCTACTTTTTTATTTGATGTCATTGCTTCTTGACTAAATATTAAAAATTTTTACAAAAATTCCTACTTGTAATTGCAGTGTATAAGAAACAGGTTTTTGTCCTTCTATCCTTTTTGTTCTTCTACAGAACAAAGCAAAATAATGAATTGTTTCAAGTGTAAACATGATGTCAGCTTCTACTGGCAGTTACTAACATTTGATTGGTTCTCAGAACAAGAACAGTGATTGGTCAGGAAAGCTAGACATATAACTGTGTCTTTTATTTATATTAAGTAATATAACTTTTTTGTATTGCAAATAATTGAATTTTGTTTTGTATGATTCAGTAATAAATTCTCTTTAAAATGATATATACAGTTTGCATTTTGCGAAACGTAACATTTTCTATAAGCATACAAAGTTCAAAAACATAAAAATTTCCAAAAGTGTCCATAATTTTTGCCACCACTATATATATGTGCAACTCTCCCAATTTTTCATCATATCTCCCAGTTTTAAATTTTTGGCCTTTTATTAAGGAAAATGTTTCCCAGCAATACTTGAAATTTATTGAATTAATAAAATTTGAGCAAATTCTATTCCCCCACCTCCATTGATCTTTCAGAATAATTTTTCTTATTACATTTTATTAATCTTATTAACCACTTGTGCTATGACTAAACTTCACGGTTGCGGTGCCGTGCGCTAGAATATAACAAGCGGTAAAGTGTCTCATTTACGTCTGCG